TAAACCCAGGGATTTTGGGAGCCCTTTGATCCAAGGGTACAAGAAGGGACCCTTAATAAGGGCAGCCCATTATGCAGCCCATTATAGGGTAGGGGTCCCCATTAAGGCTCCTTCCTTTTCCCCTTTGAGTGAAGCTTCGGGTCTTACTGTGGAAGCCTGAAAAGCTGTAGATCATCATGTACTTGTGTAGGGGTACGATTTAAGGGTCCCTTAAAGGGATCTATAGGGGCACTATAAGGGTTTACTTAGAGGTTCATGGGACTTGGTAAGTAGCTTATAATTGGGGTTATAAGCCCCTAAGTGAGGTTATCCTCATCATAACCTACTTATAACCTTACTTACTAAGTCCCATGAGCCTTTAAGCAGGGACTAAACCCTAAACCCAGGGATTTTGGGAGCCCTTTGATCCAAGGGTAAAAGGAGGGACCCTTAATAAGGACCCCTAGGTATATACTCATAATATAGCTATTATATAGCCCATTATAGGGTAGGGGCCCCCATTAAGGGTCCTTCCTTCTCCCCTCAACCCCCAAAACCCCTAAACCCGTAAACCCCCAAACCCCATGAACCCCCCAGGAGCCCCTTGAAGGAGCCCTAGTAACCCCCTTAAAGGAGCCGAGCCCTTTGAGGCAGCTGATGGTCGCTCCAAAGGAGCTCCAGGAGCTGACTAAACGAAGGCAGCGGGAGTCGAGGCCGGCACCCAGAGAGCCCTGAATTAAGGAATATTTAGGGACCTAGGGTTCCTTTAAGGGATCCTCTAAGGGATCTATAGGGTGTAGGGTTTAGGGGATTCGAGTACCCCTTAATTAAGGAATATACCTTAAATTATAGTAGGATCCCTAATAGAGAGGGGTTTGGGGTTTAAGGTTTTGGGGTTTTGGGTTTAAGGTTTATGGGGTTTAGGGTTTTTGGGTTTAGGAATTTTGGGTTTAGGGTTTTGGGTTTAAGGTTTGGGGTTTAAGGTTTAGGGTTTTTGGGTTTAGGGTGTAGGGTTTAGGGTTTAAGGTGTTGGGTTCAGGGTTTGTTTAGGGTGTGGGTGTTTGTCGGGTTTTCTTCTCGGTCGTACATGGTTTGTAAGAGTAGGCTTCCATATGGATCTTCACAAGGTCTCGAGAAACGGCTGTATCCAGGAAAGTAAACATGTTTGACTAGGTGTATAGAGAGTTACGTTTGGAGTTTTCAGGTTGCGTGGGTTTAGGTTTCCCTGGGGATCAAAATAGCCCAAAGGCCTTATATAGTATGGTCTTTGGGCACAAAAGCCTTAATATATGAGTCCTTAGATCCCTAGGGTTTGGGGCTTCCCCAAACCCTAGAGGCCCCCTAAGACCCTGAACCCCTCAACCCCCGTAAGCCGCCAGACCCGACACGAGATCTCCCCCCGTCGAGGCGGCCGCTTGGCGCCGTTGTAGGTGAGTTTGGACGCCGCTTGGCCTTATGCTTTTGAGGAATTCCGGGTTTAAGGGCGGACTTCTGCGCAGGCATGGACTTGAATGCAGAGCTGGAGGGTGCGTGTGTTTTCTGCAGACTTCAAGATAAACTTGTTAAGTACATGCAATCTCTTTTCAGTATACACATATACAATAACATGCAGTGTGCATATCACCCACCCACCCACCCACCCACCCACCCACCCACGAAGAACAGTGCCCTAAACCCTACACCATTGAGGAAAAGATATGCCCAGCCTTTGGTCTTTGGCTTTGCTGGCCACCCTTGGCCTGGGCCTCCTATCAACGGCGTCTTTGCGACGAAGACCCTAAGGCGACCTTGACCTGATGGAAGCTGGGGTTTGGAGTTTGGGGGTTAGGGTATAGGGTTCACTTAGAGGATCATGGGACTTAGTAAAGAGGATATAATTGGGGTTATAAGTACCCTAAGTGAGGCTATCCTAATTTTTTCCTACCTATAGCCTTACTTACTGAGTCCCATGAGCCCTTAAGTAGGGTTCAGGGTTCCCTGCAAGTCGAGCAGGGTTTCGAAGTGCATACTTACATACACATGTGGGGCCCGTAGTAGTACTAACCATTCAGCCCCCTGAAAGGGACCCTACAGTTTTGTAGGCCCCGTACCGTTTAGGGTTTAGGGTTTAGGGAAATCCAAACCCTGAAATCCAGAATCCTAAACCACCCTAAACTCCAATCCCTATACCCCAAATATCCAGAACCCAGGGTAAGGCGCGTAGATTTCAGGGCTCCGTTGCATCGAGTCCCATCCGCAAAGCACAGGTCCGCAAGCGTGGCTCCTTACATGATATATGAGAGTTTCTGAAAATTAGGGGTACCTTACTTTGGCATCCTTACAATGCAGATCCTACTGGTTAGGGTACTGTATTGTCGTCCCCTTTTTTCGGAAACTCCCACGTCGGCATTTCAAATTAAACTATCGTCCACACGGATTTCATTACAAGTTGACGGTCGCCACTGGCACTGTTGTCTTTCTTACGAGAAGGACTTCGGACATCAGTGGGTGTTACTCAGCCCATACGCCAAACCATTGGTCTTATCATTAAGGCATAATGTACCATATATAACACCCCATAAAACTCGTTTAAAGCCTCACCAGGACCCTTTAAAACCCCATTCTCAGTATACTTCCTTCCGAATTTGGCTGGGTCTCACCGAAACCCTAAGCCCTAATCCCTGAACCTTAAACCCTTGAACCCTAAACCCTTGCACAGGCATGCAGTCCGGCTGGCGAGAGCTTGCGTTGAGTCCCTAACCAAAGTCGTTTTGGGACGTAGGCATGTGTACGATTTATGGGGCCGATCCCGAACAGCCTAAACTATAAGCTTCTTCAGATGTACTAGGAGTATATGTTGGCAAGCCTTCAGGATGTCATTCGCTTCTCTAGGTGCAACTCTTGTGAGTCGCGCCTGACCTTTTTTCACCTCCACAGCATTGCGATTTCGCGAAGAGAGCGCAGCTGCCAAAATGGTCCACGACTGTGATGCCCTGGTATTTCCCGGCTTTTGTAAACATGCAACTACAGTCGGAGTGTCGATAGAGGGGCTGCACACCAAATCATGTGCTTCGCCTCTGAAGAGCCGGCGCATTTGATCAGAGCCGACTGTCGTAGTGACCCGAATCGAATGGTAGGGCGAGAGACAACCCTACAGGAACCCCTTGTTACATAACGGATCACGGGACTTACTATACTTATAATCCCAAGCAAGGTGCTTCTAACCTTACTAAGTCCCATGATCCTCCAAGCAAGGGGGTTGCAGAGGCTCTGGGGACACTTACACGTCTTCATCCACAGCCGACAGCACTTTCCACCGAGATCCGGATCCGTGCAAATCTAAGTCTTGTACTGTTTTATAAAACAGCTGGAACTGGGCTTGTAGTGTTTCATAAAACACTACTGTTTTGTAAAACACTACAAGTTTAGGGTTTAGGTTTACGGTTCAGCAGTACAGGGCTGAAGAATTTGAATTACGTAGGGTTGCTTACGATTCGTGGGTTTGTGATACCCAGAGCTTACTTGGAGGGGCAGGGGACTTAGTAAGTAAGGTTATAAGTAGGTTATAATTAGGATAACCCCACTTAGGGGACTTGTAAGCCCAATCATAACCTACTTGCTAAGTCCCATGATCCTTTAAGTAACCTATAGAACCCTTATAGATCCCTTAGAGGAACCCTTAAGGGAACCTACTTACTAAGTCCCATGATCCTTTAAGTAAACTGCGAGCTACTCTCGAAACCTCTTGAGCAAGTCTCGTGGAGCCCTACTTAGAGGATCATGGGACTTAGTGAGTAGGGCTCCCTTAAGGGTTCCTTTAAGGGATCTATAAGGGTTCTATAGGTTACTTAAAGGATCATGGGACTTAGTAAGTAGGTTAGAATTGGGGTTATAAGTCCCCTAAGTGAGGTTATCCTAAGCAGCATAACCTACCTATAACCTTGCTTGCTAAGTCCCATGAGCCTTTAAGCAGCCGGCAGGCAACTTGCTCGTCCTGGGCGATGACTCTGCGCGTCGGGGAAAATCCGCGAGATGTACGCAAGTGGTGCTGCGTCACTCAGAGACTCCAATATCCCTTAATTAAGGAATATACCTTAAACGATATTCGGGAGCCGACTATTCTTGAAGGCATAATTAAGGGATATTGGAGTCTGTGCGTCACTCCAGCATGTGCAGGAAGGATTTGGTCCCGACTGCACTTCAGGGAGCTCTCTTTGACTATGTGACAACTGCTGTCTCGGATGCTCTGAGTAAACTAAGATTTCCACCGTGTTACAAGTGCCCGCAATGGAGCTTCTATTCCAATCCCGCTTTAGGGGTTCATTTATAAGCCGGGTGTGTATACATGAACGACCCGATGCCAGCCTCAACAGTGAAGCACGACTACACGCAGAGCAGAGACCAGCGACTGATATCAACTCTTTTTTTGGACTTGCAGAGCTTGTGGCTCGGGTGTTAGAATACTATAGAAGCCTGAAAGATTACTGATGGTATTCCTTAGAATTCCTTACTATCTTTGTTGTACTGCACCACAGGACCTGCTGTTCAAATGATTCCGGCCCTAAACTAAAGGTCTAAAGCTCTTGCGTGGCCTGGCTGTTGTCTAGGGATTGCACAGTGATTGCATACACACATGTGTGTGAGTATACATATGCACAAGTATTTACGATATAGCAGTCTTATCGGGCGTGGGTCAGACTTGAGACGAGCCTGCTGCCTTGGTTAGAAGTCAATCTAAACCCTTGAAGCATGCTGTGCACAAATTCATTGTCGGAGTTACATAGCCCCAAGCCCTATAAACTCTATAGGCTCTAAACCGTATTATGGACAACAACTACGAACAACCCTTCGATCCTGGATGGCAGGTTTTATAACTTCCCATTGTTTCCATGTAATATTGTCATCACCACTACGCGTAGTAATAGTGGTGGCGGTGGTGGTAGTAGGAGTAGGGATAGGAGTAGGCATGATTATAGGGCCTTAGTACAGGAGCAGAATCAGCGCAGCAGTGGCAGTAGCGGCATTGCCCATGGCCTCGCCTTATGGATCTGGCCAATCTGTACACGGCATTGGGTGTATCGGTCTCTGCAGGGGAAGCTGACATCCGTTCTGCCTATCGCCGGAGGGCGCTTGCAACGCATCCAGACAAAGGAGGCAGTGCAGAAGCTTTTAGGCTAGTTGTCAAGGCCTTCGAGACCCTGGCCGACCCCCGGCGGCGAGCGCGCAAACTCGGCACCAGAGAGCAAGACGGAATCGCGCGAGCGAGCGCCCCAGCCCAAGAAGAGATGCCGGCAAGAGGGGCCGAGGGAGGCAAAATCAGCGGAGGCCAAGCCCAAGCGTAGATGTGAGGCTCCGTCAGGTGACCGGAGCACTGGATCACCGGCCCAGGAGGACATTCCCAAACTGGCAAAGGAGCTCTTGCGCCTTTCTCTGACATTCATTCGCGCCCGCTTGAAAAAGTTGGTGCTGGAAGTGCTTCGTGAACTGCTGACGTTTCTTGAGACAGCCGGTGTCCAAGCGGCATCGGAGTTCGGTGAGGACGAAGACGAAAACTCCGCATCAGCTTCCGAGGATGACCCAGAAGATGTCCTCCCTCTTTGTGACTTAGTAGCAGAGTGTTGATACACTTTACGCGTTTTGGGGTAATAGCACCCACTATAAAACCAAAAGTGTACACTTTTGGGGGGCTTATGAACTCAGCAACTAAGGTGACGATGAATGCCCAGATCTTGTCTGTGAAGATGAGCTTGAGAGCGAAACTAAGCTTCAACCCGACTGCAGGGGTCCTGGTCGAAGTGGTCTCAGGGGTGTAACTTTGCATCACTTTCGTGGGAAAAAATCATATCGAGCGAAAGTGGGCTTCAAGGGCATAATTGCACAGTCACAGTACTGCAGTAATTTGGACACGGTTATTGACTTTCACATGAGTCTGGTACAGATGCGTCATCGCTTTTTGAAGGAGTGTGAGGCTGGCAAACCTTTCGACCAAGCACTCGACATTGCAACTGAACAGCTGCACAGGGAAAAGGAAGGAGCCGATGCACCAAAGATGAGGCTCTCGTTCCTGTGCGCGCGTGTGACAGGCGGTAGAAAAGTAAATCTGGATGGGATGAAGTTGGTGTGGCAAGCTTACCAAGAGGCTCTGGCTATGGGACGCGAAGAGAAGCTGCTTCGCCTGCACCAACGCGCGCAGGAAAGGGCAGACAGGAAGCAGGAACGAAGAGAATCAAAGCACACCGCCAAAGTCCAGGCCTTGCACACAGCTCTGCAAGCTGAGCTTCAGATGCGCGCACAGCGCCTTCTCGAGAAGCAGACGCAGCAAGCTTTCGGCGTGAAGACACTGCCCCAGAGCATAGTCCTCACCAGCTTGCCGGGAGTCCCACAGCTCAACACGTGCATGCGCCTTCGCCATAATTAGTACATTATAGAATGAGGTTCCAAAAGACCATCCTGGTAATTCCATAATGGTAGTATATGAGGAGCCTCTAACTAGGGTTTAGGGATTATGTTTAGGGTTTAAGAATTAGTGCAGTGTGAGTGGTATTAAGACAGACTGTGGTAAACTCTTCAGCAACTCGGAGTCCTATGTTGGCTTAGCTTCGACTGCAGCATTTGAAGCCCCTTCTTTGTTACGTAGACTCCGCCAAGGTGCGCATAGGTTTAGAAAACCCTTAGGTTTTCGAAACATAGTTTATTCAAAAACCTATGTTACGTAGACTCAACCAAGGTGTGCACAGCTTCAGCTGAAGGATGGTTCTCTTTGTCAGGGCCCTCTCCGTGCGAGCCTCGTCCTGGCGAAGCGAGACGTCAAAGAACTTTCGGCCATCCGAGAAGCAAAGGGCGACGATGCCGTCAAGGAGGAAGCGTCCAGGAGAGATGCGGACGTCATGACTTCTTTCTTCATGACCGGCCGGCTGGCTTGACAGAAACGCAGTTGTGCATGTGCCGGGACCTGTCTTCATGCATCCGATGGTAAGCCTTGCTTCCTGAGCCCGGTTCGAGAGGATTCATCTGCCTAAGTTCACTTGAGGCTTGAAAATATTATTGTAAGAAGCATAGAGAACACCTACCTTCTCGTGTGTCATAGCGGCCCTAGTTCCTTATCCGTAGACACAAACCTTGAATGTCAGCTTGAACAGAGAGCGTTTGAAGCATGCATATCAATGCTGTCGGTTTTTCGCCAATGCAGGGAATTTTGCTGGCCTTTATGTATTTTTTTGTACCGTAAGGCAGAGTACTGAGTACTACATGCATGTTGCTACATAGGAACTGCTTTTGCTTGAGTTAAGTTTCATAAGCCTAGAGCCCGAAAGAGAACGCCCACCTGTACGATAAGCATCGCAGATTTGACTTTCTGTTGGCGAACCCCTCAATCCGAACTACCAAACCTAAACCCAGGGTTTAGGATTTCCTGTGCCGGACAGCTCCTTGTCGTCAAAGGGAGAGCGAGCCTCAAGTTTGACTCACCCACCAGAAAACCTTACACTATGCTTCCTTAACCCCTAAATTCTGCAACCCTTAAAACCTCAACCCGAAAGACCAAAACCGCAAACTGCATAAACCCCAAACCCAAAAACGTCCCCTAAACCCTAAACCCTAAACCCTAAACCGGGAACCTCAAGACCCCAAAACCTTAAACAAGAAAGCCCCAAAGCCCCCAGCCCCGAAACTAAAAACAATCAAAAGCCCCAAAAGCCTAAGCCCCAAATCCCCGAACCCTTAAACCCCTCTACCCTAAAAGCCCGAGAAACACTAGGACCTAGATTAGGCCCATATTAAACCATAAAGCGCACCCTTCTTATTCCTAGGTTACTCTTGGGTCCCCTAAATCCTAAACCCTAAATCCTAAACCCTAAGCCCTACACCCTAAACCCTTAACCTTTAAACCCTCAACCCGAAACCCCTGAACCCTAAACCCATCGAACACCAAAAGTCTTAAAGAAGACGACAGGCCCAGATCATGAGCGTGGACTTGGGGCACGAATTCTTCAAGGCGCTCTTTTTGGCTCTTTCTTGGGCGGTGATGGAGGGGAGGTTAGGGTTTAGAGTGCATGGCATTGGGCTCAGTGTTCTGTGCTGTGCCTAGACCCCCAAAAGTAGGTAAGATCATGGCCCCAAACCTATAAAGAAGGCCATTATTCCACATACTTTTGGGGGTCCAGGTGGGCTCTTTTTTGGGCGATGATGGAGGGGAGGTCAGGGTTGGGAGTGTATGGTATTGGGGTCTCTGCCTAGACCACCAAAAGCAGGTAAAATCATGGCCGAAACCTATAAACATGCTATTATTCACATACTTTTGGCGGTCCGGGTGGGCTATTTTTTGGGGCGATGATGGAGGTTAGGGTGTAGAGTGGTGTTCTGGGATGTCGGGTTTCCATAGCGGCTTTATGGAATTCGTCAAGGCCTTTTGTTTGGAGGAGGGTTTTGTGTATTCGGGGGTCCGGGATTTAGGGTATAGGGCTTAGTGTTTTGGGATTTAGAGCTTTGGGGTTTAAAGGTTAGGGTTTTGGGGTTTAGTGTTGCCGGGTTTAGGGTTTAAGGATGTCCGGGTTTCTGGGTCAAAGTAGGGTTCTAGAATGCAGTTGTGGCTTTATGGAATTCTTCAAGGCCTTTTTGTTGGGAGGTGGCGAGGGTGAGGGGGGTGGTGGGGTGATCATGGGGGGTGAGGGGGGGGTAGGGGGTGGGAGCCAGCTCAGAGAATTTGTTTCTTGCTTGTTTGTTTGGGACCAAATGACCCTCAAAAGTAGGGGCCTTATACAATTATACCATGGATCCCTATGAGGTTTATGAACCCTGAACCCTTTTAGGGGGTCGTAGAGCCGTAACGGTTTAGGGTTTAGCGTTAAGGGAACTTCTAGGATTTATTTAGAGTTTTTGTTACAGGGTCTATCAAGTTCACTTTTGGAATGGCTTCTGCGTGCTCATGATGTTTGGCAGGGGTTGCTAAAGTTGTTACTGGGTGTTCAGAGCTTTTATGAGCTTGCAGATGAGCTCCATACGGGTTCGGCTTCCATAGGTTGTAGCGCGGAGGGCTTAAGTTTGTTGTTGAGTGGGGATGGTTTGGGGGGGTCTACACCTTCAGGGTTTTGGGTTGCGTGTTTTTGCTTTAGGGCTTGGGGGTCGAAGCGCTCAGGGTTTATTAGGGTTTAGGGTTTTGGGGTTTGAGGGGTTGAGGTTTAGGCTTGTACAGTCTTGATCCGATTGTGCATTGATTATAGTAGGTCCCGATTTAGGGCCCCGCCTAACGATGGTTGTTATACCCACTCTTGAAGGCTGTTGTGTACCTTATTGCAGGTAGAGCTACCTTAAGCTATGATAACCTACTTTGTTGTAGTTTCGGTAGTTGAAGGTACCTTGAGGACCAAATGACCCTTAAAACTAGGGGCCCTAGACAATTATACTATGGATCTCTACAGGGTATACGAACCCTTAGCCCTTTTAGGGCTCTTTTCTGAGTAGCTGAGTGGATACACTTTACACTTTTTTAGAGAATACTACCACGAGAAAACTAAAAGTGTACACATTTTGGGGCTTATGAACTCAGCAACTAAGTTTTCGTCCTTAAGGTAGGAATTACCCCTACAACTACCCCTAAACCCTAAACCCTAAACCGACCCCTACAATTACCCCTACAACCACTACACCCCAGACCCTTCGCCTTACCCGCGAAGCCGAAGCTACAGACCCATTTCAAACCCAGAGGGCCCAATACCCCTTAAACCTGAGGAAGATAGCCTAAATCGTAAGAAAATAAAAAGCCCCTTGAGACTAAGGAATATGATTTAGATCATAGTATGAAGCCCCTTGAGACTTGAGCTATATTCTTGAGTTTAGGTTTGTTCCTAGAGACTCCAATATCCTTTAATTAAGGAATATACCATAAATTATATTATTAGGGATCCTACTATAAATTAAGGAATATTCCTCAATTAAGGGATAGTGGAGTCTCTAGGTTGGGCTGTCTGGGAACTCGATCACGCTTTAGAACCGCAAAGTTGATGCCACGAAGGTAGCGCTGATGCGGCAGGGCGCGCGGGGCTCGGTCTTTGCTGGCGGCTTCGTGCTTCTGTTAACCTTAAGGACGAAATGAGCCCTAAAAGGGTTTACTAGTTCATTGTTGGGATAGGAAGAAAAATGTGCATTTTTTTATCCCTTAGTGGGTTTAAGTACCCATAAAAATGAAAATGTTACCCAACTATGACAAAGTTTAAGGTTCATATACCATATAGGGGTTCATAGCAAATGGGTATTGGGCCCCTACTTTTACGGGTCATTTGGTCCTTCAGGAAGGTATCAATGTCTGGTGTAACGGTTTAGGGTGCAGGGCTTGAGGTTTAGGGTCTAGGGTGCAGGGTTTGGGATTCAGGGTGCAGTTGGGGGCTTAGCGTCGAGGCTTTAAGTAGGGTTCGGGGTCAAGTTTGGCAGATGTCCAGACTAGTCACTGTCAGGAGGGTTCTGCACTGCAAGAAACCTTAAACACCCCCGTGAACCCTAAACCTCTTATTCCCTTGCTTCGGTTCGGCATTTTTCAGACCACACAGGGTTGAGGCTTGTAATACCTGATACCACCTTATATACAAAAATATGCCCACCCAAACCCCATTCGAAGTATTGAGCCCCTATTCTAACTCCAAGTCATCCCCCCGTAGAATCCGGAGCCCTTGTAGGAACTCTTGAAAGGAACACTATTGTAATTCTTCAGGCGCCTATATGAAACCTGTCGATCTGATGGCCGAGGTTCCCCTGGAGATCGTGCTGAACTCCCACTCCAAGCGGAAGACGTCCACGGCGGTGTCATACTTTGAGGCTATCCGGTCACTGTTTGCTTCAGGGCTCAACGGACTTAGTCAACCGGGTAATGTTTGGGGGTGGTAAGTGCCTTAATTAAGTAGGGTTACCGCAACTATAACCTTACTTAGCAAGTCCAATGCGCCTTTAAGTATCAGGTTACTGCTCAGAAGTACGGCATGTAACTGTTGACTGGTTGTTCATAGTAGAGCATCAGTAACAGTTGGATAATATTCATAATACAGATATATTACGACCTTAATTGCAGCCCTATTATAGACTGTTACTGTATGGGGGCAGTACCCAACGTCTAATACAATGTAGAAATTTGTGCAAGACCTCTGCCCGGATTTGCACTCCCTGAACCCGAAACCCTGGAGCTTTGCGATAAACTATTCCTTAATTCTGACTCAACCCTAAGCCCTAAACCCCAAACCCTTAACCCTAAACCCGTAACCCTAAACCCCAAATCCTAAACCCTAAACCTTTAACCCTTAACTCCTGAACCATAGATCCTAAACCCTAGACCCCAAATCCCTAAACCCTAAACCCTATTCGCGGTGCTGTAGGCAAGCAGAGTCTTCGGAGACGACGCCCTGGCACACGTTGGCAAGGCCTGGCAAGCACCGGGTACTTGGAGAGTCAGGGGGCTTAGTAAGTATAAGGTAATAAGTAGATTACCCTAGCAAGGCTCCTAACTGGGGTTAGGATACTTTTGAGTTTACAGAATAACTACTTACTAAGTCCCCCTACCCTCCAAGTACCCAGAGTTTTGGGACTCACTTGGCGGGTTCCTCGTTAATTACTAGGTGTCGATTTCAACAGTCTCCATCCAACACAATTTAAGCGACAAGGAAAATTTAAAGTTACCCCACATCGATACTTACATCACGCGTTAAAGTACCTGCCAAGTTGAAGGGATTTGAGGACTGAGGCTTTATAAAATGGGGCTTAGGTAAGGGATGAGCCCAACTGCGAGGATTTGGTTGGGACGAGTCTTGTCGCGGCTTAGACCTTCGACCGGGCTTTAAGGGGTTAACGGTTAGCTGACGACTGCCACTACAACTTCTGCTGGTGCTGGTGCTTGTAGTAACTCGAGCATTGGTAGTGGCTAGCACTAGTTAAGTCAGTAGACTGCTGTTGCCGCTACTGTTACGACAACTACCACAACGACGACGTCTCCTACTACCAGGTATTACTACTACTAGTACTCGTACTAGTACTGGTACTAGTTACTAGTGCTAGAACTGATGCCAGTCTTGGTACTTAGTGATATATTAGAAGAAGGTAGTTGTTCATGACGTTACACTTACTTTAATATTGCTGCATTCTTCAATTTCGGTAGTTCAAGCTAAAAGGATCGCAACACCAGCAATGCCAAGATGTCCAGGCCCCGACGAAGGTGCCGCTCTTCTTTCACAATACCCTGGGTCAGAACTTCACTTCCGAGGCACAGCAAGTCAGGATTTACTTTTGGAGTGAAAGTTTTGATGCCAAGTTCCCCGAAGTAAATCCCTGAACCCCCAGGGTTTTCATATTAGGTGTCCGTGCGGGATATGTTCCTTTGGGCTTCGATGATGCCTTTTTGCACAGTTATTCACTGTTTCTACTTGGAACATAATCTAACAGAGATAGCTAAGAATGCATCATGCTTGCCGCATTTGTCACGTGCCAGCTGCAAGAGCCACCTGGCTTGTATCATCGTACTCAGCCACCCAAAGCATATGTCCGCGACGGCGCATGTCCGCGACCGTCCAGGTCGACATGTGCTCTCAGAGTCTTCAGAGACTATGGTTCTTGCTTGGAGGGTCGGGGGACTTAGTAAGTAGTCTTTTTATAGACTTATAAGTATCATAACTCCAGTTAGGATCCTTTTTAGGGTACTTATAAGTCTACTTACTAATTCCCTTGACCCTCCAAGTGGAGGTATATACGCAAACTTCGACCCTCAGCACCAAACTTTACTAGCACCCACATGCCTGTTTTCAACTTGGCTCTCTTTGTTAGTATTATAAGTTGAAACGAGCAACGAGGCTCCGTGGGAATGTGTAATCCCATACCCCAAACCTCGAACCTCCAAAAGCCCCTAAACCCCCCATAGAACCCCTCTAGATCGTATTGAATTAAAGGAGCCCCCTGAGTTTGCAGCATCCATGGGATGCCTTGGGAAGTTGGGGCCTTCAAAGACTCCCTAAACCCTAAAACCCTAAACCCTAAACTCCCTCAGAGCCCTCATCCCTCGATCAAAGTTGAAAGGCAGGTGGGTCTAGGGTTTACTTACCCGGAGCCCGGGGAGGATCTAAAAAACAGATCCCCTAATTTGGGAGCCTAGCTACTAAGGGGTACATTATAGGAACCCCCTTAAGGGATCTACTTTTCTGATCCTCCCGAAGGTCTGGGCAAGGGCTGAAGGGGCACAATAAGTAGGGTTTTAATTGGGGTTAGAAGTGCCCTAAGTAGGCTTGTCCTGCTTATAGAGTTATTAAGTCCCATGAGCCTTAAAGTTAGGGTTTAGGAGACTTGGGTACGTAGACTACACTTCTCTTCCTACTTGTAGCCAGGACGCGTAAACCAACAATAGGAACCAGTGCATTGATGGCAAGGGCAAAAAGCACTTGCAACAGAAGAACTCTTTTTTCTTCGCCGCGACAATGAAAGCTCCACAATTAAGCCGGCCTGTTCTGCTGGAGAGCTTCTCGGGAATAGAGATGCATACACCAAGGACACCTCACCCTTGAGCTGCTTACTTTAGCTGGGTTCTGGCCAGGGAAGTTACGCAGGCTAGCAGATGTTCCGAAAAGATATGAACCTTCACTATGACAGCATAAGTTTAGCTGCACTACAGGAAGCCAGCGTGGGGTCGGTTCTGGGTGCTTATGCCAGAGACCTTCAAAGGAGGCAGTGCCGTAGAACTTCCTCTACGATTATGACTTCGTATTCTCTGCGAGGGGCACGATTCGGTAGATATTTATATTTAATTACAATATTTTTACACTTATTTTATGAATCACCGAATCTGCGGTTTATGATTTTTTACGATTACATAGGATCACTGTTTATTTATCAAACCTGGATTTACAATTTTTTACAATTAGTTTACAACTTATTTACACTCGTTTTTCGACAGCATCCGGATGACGATAGAATCTGTAATCGAGACTACACCATTGCACGAATAACAGTGCACCTGTTTCAAACCTGCGCGGGGCCTCTCATACTAGGGCATGAACACCATGCGATGTAATTGTAGAGGTTAATTACGAACTCACAAGTGGGCAACAAATTGCAATTTGCAGTGCCTGGTCTCGCCACTGTGTTTTTCTGCACGCAGCAATCCGGTTCGAGGGGTTGTCCAGGTTTGCGGGGCAACCAAAAGGCCAATTCAGACTAGGAGGGAGGGCAAGGAAAGCATCCCCCCCTTGCCCTTGACCACAGCCTATAGACGCGTCATCGCCGCACCATGCAGAGTGTCTAAACTTGGTTTGCACACAAAAACGACCAGTTGTTTAAAACGCTCTAGCTTCAGTACATGGGGGAGGAGGATGTTTAAAGAGTATATAATCATAGCTTGTGTGTAGCGTTGTCGTGTTTAAACATGCGTAAAAAGGAAGCCGTGTTTCCCAAACAGCCTGCAAAGGAGCTTCGTGCTGAGCCAATGCACAGATGATATGAACTGGATGCGGGCTCGCGTGTCTAGTCATAAGAACAAGACAATCATGTCAGAGAAGCTGCGCGAATGAGATAATCTGATGTGTAAAAAAACATAAAATACATATAAAACAAGAAATCCACGAAATATAAATAAATCATAAACTATTTGTAAAAACAGTTATTTGAGATCATGGCTGACCACGCAGAATCCAAAGTCATAACTCTACGAAGCGCCGCAGCACCCCACGTAAGACTTGCTAAGCCGGGAAGGGAACCCTAGTCTTAGGGTTTAGGGTTTAGGGTTTAGGGTATAGAAACCCTTCATTTACAGTATACACAAACCTGACAGAACCAAGTTTTGATTGTTCCTTTTACGTTGTTTGGCAACAACGCGCCAACAGAGTATATAACAATGTCACTCAACAACACTCACCTAAACCGTTTAGCATCACACGGGCATGCTAATCGAGACCCCCACTATACGCAGAACTCCCGACAGGCCGACGTGCAGACGGGCGGTGCTTGGTGGCTTCTCGTCTAACATCCAAGGTGTTTGTCTGGTAGTAGAGTATGATAGAAAAGGTAACCTTAGACCTTTTCGGGATGCCTTCAATTCAGATTTCAAGAGTCCGACTATGAAAGGAGTAGGCCCTCGTGGGTTAGGCTGGGTTTGGTTTCTCTCTTCGAGTTCGTGGTGCAACTCTCACTACTACTACAAAACTGGACTGTCTGGATAGGGAAACCTGCGCTACATCCTGCATTCTGTGCTGATGCACGCTCACAATGCATGTGCAACTGGACGCCCCTCAAGTCGTGTTTTGGTCATCGCGACCATTGTATTGCGGCGTTGCGGCACTCGACGGCAGAGAGGGTCGTGGAAAGCCCTGCTACGATACCCCAAGCCTTGAAACCATCAACCCCAAACCCTAGGCCCTAGACCTCAAAGCGACACCTGTTTCCCAAGGAAGGAGTTCGGACTCAGCGAGCTCTTCTACAAGTACGATCTTGGCTATGATGTCATGGCCTCAGCGTTCGATATCATTCGTGATGCCCCGAGAAACTCGCATGACGGCTTCGGATGTAGCACCAGAGCTTCAATCGCAAGCGCACGTTTGTCCTTGCAACCTGCAGATAGTAGGGGCCCAAATAATTACGTATACTATTTTGGGGGGCTCCTGGTTACAAGTATAAACAATCCCCATTCTAACTCTTATGGCCCCGGTATTGTTCGGTTTGCCATGAGATTTCCGGAACATGCCCAAGGGTCCAAGTACCTCATAATCATATACTCCCCACACTCCTAACTTACATAACTACTATCCTAAACCGAGTACCTAATTATGAAGGCCCATATAATAGAACCCTTAGAGTAGCCTTTTAAAGGAACCTTCTAGAACCCTTTAGAGGAACCCTAATTCTTGGGTCCTTTGAACCCTTGGGGATGCCTAGGAAGAGCGCGGTGTGCCAACCTTCAAGCTCGGAGACATGGTAGCGGAGGGCGAGGAGGCCGGGCGCGGCGCACCAATCGAGGTGTGTAGGGTTGGGATAATAAGGAGACCTTAGGATTTAGGGTTTAGGGTTTAGTACAGGGTTTAGGATTTAGGGGTTTAGGGTATAGGGCTTATAGCCTTTTTTTGGGGCCCTCATTGCCCAAAACAGGGATCTGCCAGGGTTCTATACGGGGGGATTATGGTTACTTAGAGGACCAGGGGACCTGTATAGCTTTTGGGGCTTAGGGAGGTATATGTGGGTAGTTCTCTAAACTACGGCTGTTTTAGGGTCTTTGTTATAAGTGTGGCATATTATTCTTTGAGGCACCCTAATTTAGAGAACTACACCAAAAACCGTAGATCCTCGATCCGTTAAGGCTTAGAGCCTACAGCCTTTGACAAGCAGCTTAAAGTGTGAGGCTTTGGGTTTTCAGAGTTTAAGGATGTAATTTTGGGAGTTTGGACTTTGTATTGCAGGGTATGAGGACGTCCACTTGTTTTTACACATGTGTCGTTTGCACTTCCCATCTTGAATCTTGCCCTTAAACCCTAGACCCTCAACCGTACTACACTGCTGTTGATCTACGATCCTAGGATTAAGCAGTCAATGTCTTGAGGGACGCAAGTCCGTAGGTAAAGTTCAAGGAACTTTTTTTCGGCTCAGAATCGCAGTCCCTGAGCGACCCTAAACCCTAAACCCCACGATTCGGAGCTGAACGCTGGATGCCATATTCTGAATCTCCGCTCCGATGTGGGAGTTTCCTAAAATAGGGGTACCTTATCTTGGGGTCCCTTATAATAAGGATCTTACTTTTAGGGTACTGTATTAGGGTCCCCTATTTACGGAAACTCCCATGTTGAAAGGATTACATGAACTTTTCAGGGCTTGAGTCTGGGGCTTGGGGTTGTTTTCCTTCATCAAAACTCCTCTAAAGCCAAAAGATACGCCATCGAAGATTCCTGAAACCCCAGGGACCCTAAACCCTAACCCCTAAACCCGTATACTTGCATGCCCGAATCCCTGAACCTAACCCCTAAACCCCTAAAAAACACCCCTGAACCCCTAAACCCCTAAAACCCCTAAAGCCGCACACCCTAAACCCTGAAACCTGTGCCGCGTGAGGTGCTGGCCAGCATCTTCGCTTTTGCCAAGAAGATGTCAGAGGCACTGCCAAGGGAGGTTTAGGCGCCCTTCAATATTGGGGGGGTTCCGAAAATTTGGGATCCTTTAAAGGGTTACTATTAGGGTGCTATAAGGGTTCCTTTAAAGGGCTCTATAAGGGCATAGAGTTTCCGAGACTTTGGGGTACCTTGGAGTCTTTATAGCAAGGATCCTACTATTTAGGGTACCTAGAAGAGGGTCCCCTATTTTCGGTAACTCCCAGATACCCCTGTACCATGAATCCCTACATGTAGAGCCCCAAAAAAGCACATAAGCAAAGATAAGGATACGGATATCCCATATAAACCCCCTTACAATGAAGCCCAATAAGGTAGGGATATCCCTGTACGATGCTTATGCTTATGTGCTTTTTGAGGTCCCTAACATGGAAGGAGAACCCTGGAACGGGATTCCAGGGACCGGCCGGAGGCCCTCCCACTCACCCCGAAAGCCCTGAACCCAGGCCTTCATAATGTTCCCTATACTATTTTGAGGGGTTCCCCCCCTCATCATAGTTATAGTGTAAAAAGGGCACCAAAACCCTAGTCTAATTATTAAGGCGCCTATATTATATTAAATCCTCATAGTAGCCCTTATTATAGCCCTTTCAGACCCCTTTTAAAGAACCCTTTGAAGGAACCCTATTCTAATTATTGAGGCCCCTACATTATGGTTTCACGTCTCGGCCAGAGCCGAAGTGCGTTAGCCACTCAGGGCTTGCTTCAGGCTAGGTTTCAGAGCCCTGGACATTAGGGTTTAGGGGATTAGGGGTTTAGGGTTTCAGAGCCCTGGACCTTAGGGGATTAGGGGTTTGGGGTTTCAGAGCCCTGGACCTTAGGGTTTAGGGGATTAGGGGTTTAGGGTTTCAGAGCCCTGGACCTTAGGGTTTAGGGGATTAGGGGTTTAGGGTTTCAGAGCCCTGGACCTTAGGGTTTAGGGGATTAGGGGCTTAGGGTTTCAGAGCCCTGGACCTTAGGGTTTAGGGGATTAGGGGTTTAGGGTTTCAGAGCCCTGGACCTCAACCTGCTCACTGCTTTTCTCACCAATTTTTGGGTGGTTGTCCATATTAGGGTCCCTTTTTGGGGTCCCTATTTTAATACGGCACCTATTGTTTAAGGTACCAAAAAGGGACCCTAATTTTGACAACTACCCATTTCGAAGATGCTCTAATCTGCCTTAATCTATACATAGGTGTACTTACATGCATACAACATCAAGTAAAAGATATCCCAGAGCCGAACCCCCAACCGGCACAAACAAAAAGGACCAACTCCTTCCGCCGCAACCAGCAACGAGGACAAGTAACTCTCCCTTAGAAAACACAAAAACGTGACACCCTGTGGGGCGTTGATGGCAGGACTCTGCTGATGGCAAGTCCGTCAGGGATCTCGTCGTCACCGTTCCGAATGATGCCTCGCTTCGGCAGCGCCAGGCTGGATGCGCAGGAGCTAGTCTTTTGCAGGGTAACATACTCGCCCGAACAGTTCGTAATACTGTTCCATCGGCTTTTGCTTTCGGTCAACAGACAAAGAGTAAAACCTGTTTTCGATCATTCAGCCCCCACGTTACCGCAACCTTTGAAGACACCGGCCATACAACAACTAGTCCTGCTTGTACAATCCCATAGTTAACCACCAAGCCGAGAGGTTTGTGACGCAGCATACATACGATGGAGTTTTCTGGGGTCCACCCAAGAGTTGGCTTCTGCTTACCTTCTGACACCTGCAGAGGAAAGTCAAGACAGTTCTTAGGGACCCATAGAATATCCAATAAAGTCCTAAGCCTTAAAAGTTGAATGAAAGCTTAAACCCTCAAACAAAGCCTGAACCTCCAAGCCCTGAACCCTCCAATACTGTAGCACACCAAACCCTAAACTCTGATTGTTTATGCCTTTATGTAAATGCCTCCACCCTAGGGATGCTCGATATCGGACTGCAGGCGATCGTCTCCGCCGGCGAGATCGCAGGGTGCCGGGTGCAAGCCTGAGAATTCTTGAGAATATTTGAGAATGTTGACGGTTTTAAGGTTTAGGGTGTGTGTGCGTGTGTAGGCCTTTTATGTATGTATGCATGTATGGAACGTATGTATGGTTGTTCGTTTGGTGTTTGTTTGATGTTGGGTATGTCTGTTTGTTGACGGTGCAAATCTGTCTGTCCGTCTGTCTGTCGGTGTGTATGTACGTATGTCTGCGTGTATGTATATACTTGCTCGTGTGCTGGTGGTAGTGGAGGTGGTGATGATGATGACAATGCTAACCCAGTGTTGTTGCTCACAGCCGAAACAACAAAGCGCACGTGATATTCATTAGTAACTGTAGCAAGCTCACTACGATGATAATCGTAGTCACGAACATTGGCAGGACCATACCAGTGGTGCAATCAGGACCCTTGTGTCGGCGTTACTCCTAGCAATTGTATTGATATCAGAACGAATGTTCTGCACCATGTTTCTGTTGGTACATTGGCGATGAACATTTGGCCACAGAGCCCAACAGTATGAAAGAAATATATATATATATATATATATATATATATATATATATGCTACCCCCCCCCCCAGATACCAATAGAATTGTGTGTTTTGTGCTCTAAACCCTGCAATTCATGACACCAAGACACTCGAAGGTCTCAGATACTTCTAGTGCACGACCAGAAGGTGATTTTGTTCATCCCCTAGATCCCGCAATTCAAGACGCATGCATCCAGGAGGCGCTTAATACAGGGCCAGGCAAGCCTGACTACATTGATGCCATACACATACAGGATGCTTCAGCACATGATAGGTAGTAACGGTTTAATGGCACCCTCTGTATTTCTTAGACGTGCCTCTAATCTATCACCCCTCCTTCCTTATCACACGCTAATAATAGTACAACCCTAACACCAACAACTACCACTACCACTCCTCCTCGTGCTGCTGCTGCTATTGCTGCTACTACCACATTACTACATGTTTAGTTAGGTCTATGTGTTTCAGCGTCATTCCACATCTTGCCCCAAATGTATCCAGGCGACCTTTTCCTAGACCATGTCTTCTCACCATATTGCTCCTAAATTTCGTATCATGATATTAACCTAAATCCTGTCACATATCCAACTATTATCAAGATGGTCATAACAAACCATCACAAGAACCGTACTACGACTACAATCTACTACTGATACTACTACTACTACTACTACTACTGCTGCTACTACTACTACTACTACTACTACTACTACTACTACTACTACTACTACTATCACTACTATCACTACTACTACAACTGCTACTACTACTACTACTACCACTACTAGTCAATCCATAGTATTAAACACGATTACACTGTACCTTTATCCTGTTATGCTACTACCGCCATACCCTTATGCTAATCATCATATTCCTGCCACAATGCCTTAAGCAAGCTTTTCCATCCTATCATAAATCAAAAAGCTACCCATATTTATGGGTTTAGATGTAATTAAGGACACAGTATTAACATATCATTCACTTACATCAGTCTATCTCATTTACCTAACACACGTAAACAGTGCTCACTGAAGTAATCAAATATCACACTCATCACCCTAAACATAAAACGTCAGTGAGACTGGCAACCAGAAACAAAACACACCCTTCTACCATCTCCAACAAACACTTACAAAAAATAATGGTACATCAACTAATCATAGTGAACCCCAGAAAGTTGGAACATTGATTTAGGGTGATTAGTGTTTGATTTACTTTGCCTTTAGTATAAGGGCATTAGGATACTGATGTTTCAACTTTCTGGAGTTCACTGTAGAATAATTTACAATGAAACCAGATCTCAAGTTGACGGCAAAACAAAAATCTGCTGTAAGTCAAAGCTAACAGAGCGCGAGAAGAAAATCTGCAGTGCGTTTTGCGCGGGCGCCGCGCGCGTGACGGAAACCTTCCAAAAGATCGTTTGATTGAGACAGTACAGTGGTTTCGTTAATTTTATTGTAAAAGTGCTGTACTGTCCCAAAAAAATCAATCCTTTTTTGCAAAAGTGCTGTACTGTCCCAAAAAAACCAAAAAAAACAATCTTCTACAGTCTTGGAGCAGCTGCCGTGTAGGGGCCTCCAATAGATTGGTTTTTTTTGGGACAGTACAGCACTTTTGCAAAAAAGGATTGGTTTTTTGGGACAGTACAGCACTTTTGCAAGAAAAGCAACAAAAAACACTGTACTGTCCCAAAAAAACCAATCCTTTTTTGCAAAAGTGCTGTACTGTCCCAAAAAAAACCAATCTATTGGAGGCCGCTACACGGCAGCTGCTCCAAGACTGTAGAAGATTGGTTTTTTTGTTTTTTTGGGACAGTACAGCACTTTTGCAAAAAAACATTGGTTTTTTTGGGACAGTACAGCGCTTTTTCTAGTTTGCGGAGAAGTGTGATGCAGAGCGAGTACTCAAGTGCTGAGCATCCTGCTGCTATACTCAAAGTGGTGCAAGCGCCCTCTAAGGCCACAAAACGTTCATGGAGAGTCTTGTCACAAGTCTCAGCCAAGAGGGTGCTCGAATGCTTTGTTTTTGTCTCATGGTGCTGCCTGCAGAAGGAAAACACAGGAATGTTTGGTAACTGGGGGGGGGGTACCATATATATATATATATATACATACTTAGAAGTGTCGCTGGACTGAACTCCAAGAAACCCTGAAACAAAGCAACAGCAACCAAGACATCCTGGCCAAGCTTGATGCACCCCAGTTCGGTCGTACATAACCGCGGTGTCGAATCCCCAAAACGAATTCCTTACAGGAGCCCCTAAACAAGTCCTAGACCCTAGACTACAAATCCCCGGATCAAAGCCCAAACTTCCTACCGCGGGCAATTCGGGGCTTGCAATCCAGCCTTGTGGAAAGATAACGACATCCACTGCGACAAATGCCTCTTGACCATTGCTCCACCCTAAACCCTAAACCCTAAACCAAAACCCTAAACCCTAAACCCTAAACCAAAACCCTAAACCCTAAACCCTAAACCGTACATGACGCAGTTGTCACGCTGGAGCCTTAGGTAGCCTGAGCTCTGAACATCCCTAAACCCTTTATTCGGAGGCCTCACAAGGTGGGATGAAGGTAGGTGGGATTAAGGATCCCTTATATAAGGACTCTTATTTGGGAATATCCCACCTACCTTCATCCTACCTTTTTAGGTCCCCGATTGAACAGTCCTAAGACCTCAACCACAGACCTCAAGGTTTAGGGTTTAGGGTTTAGGGTTTAGGGTTACAGAGTCTCAGGTACTGACCCTCGTCCACGAGACTTCTGCATTCGCTGTCGGGACCCCGTGCAGTACGGTTGATGATATAAATCCTGCATTACCCAGAATAAGGAATATACCATAATTCCCATAGACTAGGGTCCTTAAGGTAATGCAGGATTTATATCATCAACAGTAGGACTCTGGGGTTTTGAAGAGGGTGCCGAAGGTTGAGAACCCAGGACTCATGGATGCAAGGGCCTTCAGTTTCGTGATTTAGGGTTCTAGGGTTGGGGGGTTTCAGAAGTTTAGGTTTTAGGGTTTAGGGTTTAGGGGTTTCGTGATTTAGGGTCTTGAGGTATTAGAGTATTTAAAAGTAGAAGCTACTTTGTAAGTAGGTTGTGTGATGCAGTGAACTGGGATGATCCTAACCTAAAACAACTTTCCTTAACACCTACTTGTGTTACGAGCGTTTTTATGTTTCAGCCGAGCCGTGGAGTTGCGTGTGTCTGTCTGTGTGTGTGTGTGTTCAGCTTCTAAGTATGACTAGAATGTCTCGTTTCGCAACTGTTTGGGTTTTGGGCGATGATTTCGATGTTTGTCTGAGCCTCTGCTTGCGAACTTCGGGATCTAAGGGGTGTAGGGACCGTTGTAGGCTTAATGACCCAACCGTGAACTCTGAAACCCTTGGGCTTTTGGGCTCTCCCAGCTCGGTATGGGTTTCATGATGAGGATCCTTGAAGCTGCGGGTGCTTTGAGCTCAAGTTCAAGGAGTACTAAAACCACGTCCAAAATCACCGAATCCTATACCCTGTCCTTAAGTTAGATTAAGGGACCTAGAGTAGGCGCTTATTGCCTTTTTAAGGGTTCAGGTTCCCTTATAAGCCCCGTTAAACCAAACAGGGCACCCTTTTTAATTCCTAGGGCCTAGGGTACTCTTGGGTCTCGGGTCATTATTATTCTGGGGGTTCCTTATAATAAGAATAGCAATAATAATAAGAATAATAATATTTTAGTATACCCCACAACCCTATTCTAATTATTAAGGCCCCTGTATTGGGCAAGCTTGGCGACCGAAGGTCCAGCGAGCGGTAGATGTGACGCCGGAGAAGGGGGCCGCAGACCTGCATGGATCGGAGGCCTCAAAAGGTGGGATGAAGGTAGGTAGGATCAAGGATCCCTTATATAAGGACTCTTATTTGGGAATATCCCACCTACCTTCATCCCACCTCTTGAGGCCTCCGAATGGAGAACCTTTTTGCTGTAGGGGCTTGGGGGAGACGTGGGAGTCTGGGGTTTTAGTGTTTGGCAGTGTAGGGTTCAGGTTTAGGGGTGCAGTGTAGGGTTTAGGTTTAGGGGTGTAGGGTTTAGGGTTTCGGGGTGTAGGGTTTTGGGGTGTGGGGTTTAGGGTTTAGTAGGGTTTAGGGCTTAGGGTTTATGAGTGTAGGGTTTAGATCTAGGAGTGTAGAATTTAGGGTTTTAGGGTTCGGCGGTGTAGGGTTTAGTGTTTAAGGGTGTAGGGTTTGGGGTTTAGGTTTAGGGGTGTAGGGTAGTTAGGGCAGATCAGGCTTTTGGGGGTTTAGGGTTTAGGGTTTTGGGTATGCTCAGACTCAAGCTTTATACGGCTTCCAGTAATGGAGATAACGTTCCAGTATGCCAGATCAACGGCTGGGGGTCAACCATCCCCCATGTAGGGTCGGAACACTTACCAGTGCCACCCCTTTGCTCCCTTCCTTGTAACACGGGTGCTTGGAGGTTCATGGGACTTAGTAACTGGGGTTATAAATAAGGTATCTATACTTATAATTACTTATATCCCCGGTTCAAGTACTTATAACTGTACGTACTGAACCTCCAAGTAAGCTAACTACAATATACACTGAACCAAAGTTTTAACGGGTAAGGCCCTATGCATCGACCATACAAGGAGTACTGTTTGATTCAAGTGGGGCGTGAGGGGGGCAGTCACTTCGGGTTTGGGGTCAAGGATTAGGTTCAACCACTCTTCCCTCCGAGTCAGATGGGAGTTTGCGAAAACTGGGGACCCTAATATAGCACACAAAATAGTAGGATCCTTATTATAAGGACCCCAAAATAAGGTACCCGGAATTGTCGGAAACTCCCAGATGCTGAATTAAGTACAAGGCGTGCCCTGCACATTGGGGGTTTGGGCTGAAGGTTTCAGGATGCCGAAATCGTCATGGCTCGGAGGATCTCGCCGAGTTATAGAAGTCCTGCCAGGACCCCTGTTTTAGGGTTCAGGGCTTAGGGTTTTAGGATTTAGGTTAGGGTGTCCCGGGTTTAGGGTCTAGGGGTTCAGGGTTTTACGATCCGGGGGTTTAGGGTTGGGTTTACGGCTTCAAGCTTGGAATCTAATGCCCAAACTCTGAACGCATGCCATCTGAGGCCAGTGAGGTCCACCTCTTCTACAACTTGGGCTCGAGGAAAGCAGAGGCTTCTTCCAGGGGTTTAGGGTTCAGTTTTGTTTTTGTTGGTTCCAGGGGTTTAGGGTTTAGGTTTGGGGTTTAGGGTTCAGGGCTTTAGGGGTTTAGGGGATTAAGGGACGTTCATGTAGACCCCTGAACCCACTTTCTTACAAGGCCCTAATCTGAGGATATACGTATTAAAGCCCCCGTCAGAGGTTTACTGATCAGGGGCCTACATCAAGTTTAGGGATTTGGAGTTTAGGAGCCGTGTCGTAGTAGTGCCTTTAAACCCGAATCCTAAAACCCCCCTAAGCCATTAACCCTCAACCCTAAAACCCGAACCCCCAACCACTAAACCCTTACGCCTAAGCCTAGAACGCTCAATCGTTGGCCCTTATCCCGTGAGCAGCAAAGCTTCAAATTTCAACATGCAGGCCTTTACGCCGAAATTGGGGTTTAAGGGTTTAGTGGTTCAGGGGGTTAGCTTTTAGGGGTTTAGGGCTTAAGCCCTTGCAAAAGCGTGCTTGCCTGGCAACAGATGCAAGGCAGTTCATGCAAACACGGGCGGGAGGACGAACAGTGCTTCTGCCTGCCGGCCGAGATTTGCATTGTTCTGCGAGATCTACGGCTATCCTTGCATACTGGAAGTACAGCGGCATGCCGGACACGGACGGAGACGAAGCTGGAGCTTTGGTAACATGTCGGACGTCGAAGATGAGTCGCCGGCTGAACAGGTGGTCAGCTGGTTGGCTTGTGGCCTGCACGGGCGCCGCGTAGTCGCTGCAGCTATGGAAATCTACGGCGGCGAAAGCTTAACCCAGCGAGCAGCATTGAAGGCGAAAATTCGCGAGGCACCGCCGAAGCTCAGCTAAGGCCTATATCTTAAACTATAAGATGCCTCATACATGATTTAAGCTGTATTCCTCAATCAAGGGCTATTGGGGTCTCTGGTTTCTCAGTCAGAGCACTCAAGCACCCGTTCATGGCTGGCTTTTTGGGTTTGGCGGCTTAGGCTTCTGAACCCCTGAAGCGTCTCAGCCGTAAGCCAATACCTCTCAGGCGGCCTAGACCTTTAACCCTAAGCCCTAAAGCCCAATCCCGGCCTACTGTACTATACCATAACTATAATAAGGTACCCCCAGAATAGTATTGGCAAGTCTTAAGGCCCCTAAATTAGACTCTCTCGACGGAGACCTTAACCACACCCCGAAACACAAACCTGAAAGACATCCTAAAATACTCAAACCCGAGCCTGTAAATCGAAAGTGCAAGTCCAGGGTTTAGGGTTAAGGGTTCAGGAGGTTCTCTAGATCATGCAAAGGCTCATGGGACTTCGTAAGCAGGTTATTTTCCGATTCTAAGTCCCCTAAGTAGGCTTATCCTAAATAATCATAGCCTAGCTTAGAGCCTTCCCTACTCAGTTACATGAGCTTTTAAGGTTCTCCAGATTACGATCCTTCTGGGGTGAGGCAGAGGGCCGTATTACAAAAACTGTGATATCAAACCAACGTGAAGCCCTGTGACCCTAACCCTAAACCCAAAACCCTATAAGCTAAACCCTAAACCCTACATCCTATAAACCCCAAAACCCTAGACCCTCAGTGTGGTGGCAACAGGCGACGTTGGTCCGCTTCGAGAGCCGCAGCGCCGGGATGGTTCCTTAAGCTGATCTTCACACCCCCAAAGGGTCCTATGTACAGTATGTACTGTTATGGGGGATACTTCCCCGAGTCATAATAGTAATTCCTAATATGGAAACCCCAGATTCTACTATATCGGTACATAGGACCCTTTGGGCACAGATGTTGGGGTGTAATCGCTTTGACGGTTTTAATAAGGTTTCCCATAAGGGTTCTATCGAGATTTCGGGTTTAGAGTTTAGAGTTTAGTTTAGAGATCAGCTTTTGGGCTAAGAATTTTTGGGATTTGGGTTGAGGGATTGGGGTTGGAGTTTCGGGTCCAGGGTTTAGGGTTCACCCCTAAACCCCTGAATTCACAAGCCCCTAGCCCCTAAACCCTAAGCCAAGGGACATACCGTAAAATGTGAGGGCACCCCCCTGCCTGAACTCAAGCCCTGAATCCCTACATTTCCTATGGTTGATGATACAAATCCTGCATTTCCACAAGGAGCCTATCTATGGGATTTATGGCATATTCCTCAAAATCAGAAATGCGGGGTTTAGATCCTAAACCCTAAACCCCCTTAGAGATCCCTTTAGAGCAGCCCCTTAAAGGTACTCATGTAGATCCCTTTAAAGGAACCCTAAACCCTAAACCCTCAGCCGTAGTGACGGGCTGTCGGAGTCCCGAAGCCTGCGGTCGTTGGTTTAAGCTTGGGGGGTTTAGGGTTTAGGTTTGGGGTTTAGGGGTTTATGGGGTTTAGGGGTTTAGGGTTTTAGGGTTTGGGGGTTTTGGGGTTTAGGGTTTAGGGGTTCGGGGGTTTGGGGGTTTTAAGCTTGGGTTTTGCACAGAAGCCTGGATGAAGTGTCATGTGATTCCTTGTAGTCCCCTCCTAGAGCCCTAGTAGTAGAGGAGGTAACCTATAACCTTCTTGGGAAGAAAAGCCCCTATATAATCCTTATATACCCAAAAAGGTTAGCCTTTAGTTCCCCATGATACCCCACAAGTGGGGAACTATACGGTTTTCCCCCGAAGCCCTTCTCAATTAAGCCCTTGGCTATGGGTTGTGGAGTCGGGCGCTTCAATCTCGCGGTTCAGGCCTTTACCCAGACCCCGGGAGGATCCAAAAAGTAGATCCCTTAATGGGGGCTCCTATCAAGTATCCTTGGTAGTATGGTTAGAGGATCTACTTTCTAGATCCTCCCGGGGGTCTGGGTAGGGGGTGTTCGGGGTTGGGCTGACGGTTCTAAACTTTAGGAGATCTGGGATGCAAGAGTTTGAGGTTGAGGTCGTTGAGACTCGTATGTCGGGTTACGGGTTCATGGTGCCAGGTTTTGGCGGAACCCTAAAGCCTAACCTTTCCAAGAGTCGTTATGGGAACCCTAAACCCTAAACCCTAAACCCTAAACCTAGTGTTCCCAGTCTTAGGACGGCCATACGAAGCTTAGGCTCGCCTGGGATTCTCGTTGGAATATGAGCCCAAGGTTTCAGGGCTTCAGGGCTGCAGGGTCTTAGGGTTCAGGGTTTAGGGTTTAGGGTCTAAGGGTCTTAGGGTTTAGGGTCTTAGGGTTTAGGGTTTAGGATTCAGAGGTTTTGTAGTTATAATAAGACCGAAGTGCGTTTTCAACTTGTGTTTTTGACATGTGTGGGGGTGCGGGGGGCCTACAGATGATAGAATTCCGAATCCTGTAAGGCCCGTGAAACCTGGAGCGTTGAACCTAAGCCGGCAGGCTACGAAACTGAGAGGCCTCAACCGGAATTCCGATAATTCCGAAACTTAAAGTTAGTAAGTAGGGTAAGACCTGGCTCACTAAGTCCCGTGAGCCTTTTTTGTACTCTGAGCCCTCTAAACCCTAAACCTTAAACCCTAAATCCTAAGCCCTAATCCCTAAACCCGAAACCCTAACCCCTAACCCGTAAACCCTACACCCTGAACCCTAAACCCTAAATCCTAAGGTAGCCGGAAAGATGGCTCCGGTGCTCACTGTCCTCGGCTCTTCCATTGACCACGGCATTGGCGGGTCTGCCTCGGCACGCTTCCTTAAGGGGCTTACCCTAAGGCTCTAAGGACTCATATATTAAGGCTTTTGGGCCTAAGGACCTTTTTACTACTAAGGGTCCCTTTAAGAGATCTGTAGGGATCCCTTAATGGGGGTTCCTATAAAGTACCCTCAGTAGTACAGGGCCCCGCATTAGGGGATATACTTTCCAGATCCTCCCCGGGGTCTGGGTCGGGGTTCCTCTACTTAAAAGTACTATAGGGGCCCGGGTTTAGGATGGTTTTCTGATTTGAGTGTCTTTAGCTTTCACTGCTTAAGGGGCTTCGGGTTCCTTTCAGGAGTCTCTCAGGGTGCAGGAAGGCTACTAACTATGGAGATTGGGCTTAGGGGCAGGGTTCAGGGTTTAGAGTTCAGGTGGGTTCCTGTAATGGTTCTACAAGGCGGGTTATGTTTTGGTGCCCTGAACTCAAATGTAAACCTCTGATCAATGAACCTCCTTTATGTCAAGATTCATATGATAACTCTTGTAGGGAGGTTTCTCTATCAGGCCTACATGAAAGACTAGCTCCGGCAGGCCGTGTTGTCCTAATCCCCAGGTCGCGCAACCCGAAACTCCGTGTGCGAGAGGCATTTGTTCGACCTGAAAGTCGCCGACGCGATGTTGAAGAAGTTCCAGGACGGGTCTATAGTAGGGCCCCAAAAAAGCACATAAGCAAAAATTAGGATAGGGATGTCCCATATAAACCCCCTTTAAAAGGAAGCCCATAAGGTAGGGATATCCCCACAAAATGCTTATGCTTATGTGCCTTTTTGGGTCCTTAAATAGGGAATACAAGTTTAGGGCTTAGGGCTTAAGGGTACAAGCGGTCAGGGTTTGCAGGTGTAGGGCGGGTTGTTGAAGATAGCGTCAAAAGATTTAGGGAGCTTGAGGTGGGGATACCGTACAGAGTTCAAGGTTTATGTCAGCCCGGGGGTGATGGAGGATGTTCAGTACAAGGGCTTTAAGATGTTCAGTACAAGGCCCTGAATAACTTGTAACAGGTTTAAGACTATAAGTGCAGAGAGGTTAAGGGTTTTCATCTGAATTATGATTGCTATGTGGGGTATCACGGTGTTTAGAGCTGTTCGTTAGGGCTTAGTGTTAAGGTTTGGGGCTTTCAGGGTTTGGTAATTTAGGGCTTGCGGCTTCTCGAGTTTAGATTTTAGTGTGTGCAGTTCAAGGTTGCTGGTCTCCATCCAAGCTGAGGAAAAGAACCCCTCTTAGAGGATCATGAGACTTAGTAAGTACGTTATAATTGTTGTCATAAGTCCCCTAAGTGGTGTTATCCTAATTAACCTACTTATAACCTTACTTACATGAGCCTTTAAGTTGGGCAGGTTGGGTTGTCGACTTGAGGGCGACCGCAAACGCTCGATATGAATACTGTCCCGTTTTCCCATGTTAGAATCCTAGACGTTCTACGACTCCCAGACCTAAAACCCTACCCTGTCTTCATATAAGCCTCAAACCCTAAGCCCTGAACTCCGACAAAAATCCTGCAAATCCTATTCTGAGATTTGCAATGTCCATCGCCTGCCAAAGGCGAGAGAGCGCAATACCCGTTAGGGGAATGCTCGCTTCGCATGCTATCACGTGTCCGCAAATAGCAACGTTTTCACATTACAGGCTACTATTTGCTTAAGAACACCCAAAAAACAAAAAATATATTCCTTATGGGGGGTAATATAGGGATTATTATTTTTATTTTTTGGGTGTTTCTTAAGCAAAGAGTAGCAGGGGAGCCTTGCGCTTGAGCATGGTTCTCCTCACCGAGCCAGGAAAGGGCAGAAGGGAGCAAAACCCTAAGCGAGCCGATGTCGACTTGGGACGCGGTCAGAAGAAAGCATCGATGTTGCCATTGCTGACCCCTTAAGGAATATAGCCTAAATCATGATATGAAGGCCACCTTATAATTTAAGGGTTATTCCATAATAACGGGTTATATGGGCCCTGTCAAAAACCGTACAAACCCTTAAAAGAGTCCGGAAAGGAACCCTAATCTAAGGTCTATTCCTTAATTTAGGGGGTATTGGGCTCTATGCCACAGGCCAAGGCCCATCTTGCCATCTCAACGGCTCCTCCAAGTAGGTAGCATTCGGGAGACCCCTTAAAGTTGCTACTTCTGGCTCTCTTAAAAGGAGCTTATTGAGAGATTCTACATCCTCAAGGGTCCCCTTAATCCTGACTTTCAAAAGGCCCGAGACGCCTTGAGGAGCGAACCCAATGTCGCCACACGCCGAATGAAGTTCCGGGTTTTGGATCTGGGGCTTATATGGCATGGGATCAAGGTACCTTAAGCTAGAGAAGTTGCTTGAATATGATTTAAGGTAGATTCCGCACTTAAGGTGTTTCGGTTTACCTTACATCATGTTCAGGGGCCCTCCCTGTTTGAGCATAGACTTGAAATAGAATTTAGGGTTCTGTTTCCTAAGCTCTAAACCGTGTCATAGGAGGCCAAAAGGGGTTTTAGCCTATGGGGGTTTAGTAGGGATTGGGTTCCCATAATAGGGTTCATACTAAGGAATCCCTACCCCAAGAATCATAAGCCCCCCTTTTGGCCTCCCATCAGAGTGTGCAGGAGAAGTTTCCGAAGCTGGCAGGCAGAGCTCTGCCCTGTGTCTCTCCAGCCTTTGGTCGGTAGTGGCTCGGTGGGGGCTTAGGGGTTCCTCTACTGAAAGGGCTTAGGGTCGCTTTAAGGGATCTATGGGGTTTTAGGGTTTAGGGCTTAGGGGAGAATCCAAAAAGTAGATCCCTTAAGTGGGGTTCCGATAAAGTACCCTCAGTAGTATAGGACCCCAAATTAGGGGATCTGCTTTCTAGATCCTCCCGGGGGTCTGGGTGTGTAGGGTTCAGGGGAACAGGGTTTAAGGCCTTGGGTTTAGGGTTTAGGGTATACCGACATCACAATACCTGCAAGATTTGCAGGGCTTAGTGCGACTGAAGCAGGGATCCTTGATTGCAGGGCCTCCATGGAGGGTCTCGTCGTTGGCGTAGAGTTGAAATATGCCCGAAAAACAGAGTCTGGACTTGGACCGCATTCTGTGCTGAAGTACAGCTACACCACTGACCGCAAATGGGCGGTAAAAGATCCCGGGACAAAGCAAATGACTGGAGGCATGGAGTGGGAGAGCGAACAGAGCACAATCCCAAGGAGCGCCCCAAAAAGTTTCATTGAATCCCTTGCAGGGCAAGGCTCAGCCACTTTGTTAGACACGTTCGGCCCACAAGGATGTCTCAACATTGCTCTGTATTTGGTAATGAAAGGAATATCCTGGCCATCAATGCAAGGATTCACCCTGGAACTTCGAATCGACGGCAAGGAAGTCCAGATCTCAACGAAAGAAGAACTCAGAGGCCTTTACTTCATGGCTGAGGCAGCAGTGAGAATGGTCGGAGATGATGATCAGAAAGGTAATCCAAGCCAACCTTAGAACCTAAAACTTGAACGTTGCGCCCTAAACTTCAAAAGCTAAGTCCTGAAGTCCTAAAGCCCGTAAACGGAACGCTAGCTTTTTGCAGGATTGCGCCGAGCAACTGGAACCCAAGGTTTTTGGAGGGCTCTTGGGCTTCTCATCACTATGCGGTGTTGAGAGTTTTAGAGTTAGGGGAGGTCTACATATTCTGGATGCAATTGCTGAGGGTCTAGCCTAGGCGGCTATTAACTGTTGATGCCTCAATGCGAATTACGGTTCGTAGGATAGTTCATTGTTTAATCCAGGCCTGAGGATTCAGTTCAAAAAGAGTTTCAGGTGCATTCTCAGTGGCGAGATCCAGAGGTCATGCGGTAGGACCCACAAAGGTGCTGGCCGCAGCAACTTCGGGCAAACCTGAAGCTACCGGACCGAGCCTGCGGCCTCCAAACCCGCAAAAATCGCAAAATTCAGCATGTACAAGGTAGAGCCCCTAAATCCTAAACCTTAAACTTGCAGACCTCAAACCCCAAACCTTAAATCTTAACCCTGCAAACCTTGAAAGTCTTGCATGATGTCCTGTCAGATGGCGTTGTGAAGAACCCGAGGGCCTTGAGGAAGCTCTTGTCCCAGGCTGGTTGTCCAGGGATTACGGTCTACTTCTAGAGGCTTGGAGAATTACTAGTACTAGCCCCCGGGCTTCTTATTCTGATTCAAGTAGAACGTCACCCAAAACCCTGTTCTAATTATTGAGGCCCCTTAAAAAACACAACATCCCTTACAGAAACCCGTATTCTAGGTTCTAATTGTTGAGGTCCCTTAAAAACACAGTACCGTTACAGAAACCCGTGTTCTAATTACCAAGGTCCCTAAACCCTAAACCCGTATTCTAATTACCAAGGCCCCTGCAGCCTCAATCACAAAACATAGCCCAAATCCCAAAATCCTGTCAGCTCCAAACCCTGGCGCCGTAGGATTTAGAGTTTAGAGTTTCGGGTTTAGAGTCTGTAGGGGACTTAGAGTAGGCCCTTATTCCCTTTAGGATTCAGGTTCCCTTATAATAATCGGCCGTCGGGTTTAGAGTTTAGAGTTTCGGGTTTAGAGTCTATAGGACCTAGAGTAGGCCCCCATTCCCGTTTAGGCCGTAGGGTTTAGAGTTTAGAGTTTCGGGTTCAGAGTCTATAGGACCTATAGAGTAGGCCCTTATTCCCTTTTTAAGGATTCAGGTTCCCGTATAGTAATAGGCCGTAGGGTTTGGAGTTCAGAGTTTCGGGTTTAGAGTCTATAGGACCTAGGGTCTACCTAGACCCCCGCCCAACTAACCTTTATTGTAATCCCTAATCACCTCTTAGTGAGAAATATTAGAGCCCTTTAAAGGGTACTTGGGGGGTCCTGGTAGGGTCCAGAGTTTAGGGTGTCGGGGTTGGAATACAGGCTCAGCCCTGATCTCCCAGACGTGTTGTAAGGTGCTGTCTTCGTCAGAAGCCTAAACCCTAAGCCTAAAACCCTAACTCAGTGCTCCAGACCTTGTCCTGTATTGTCCCAAGAAATTCCACATTGAGGTTTATAACAAAAATCTACAGAAAAGTATGGAAGGTTAGGTTAAACTTCAGACTCCTGCGAACATTCAGAGTTGCAGTCATGGGTTGTTGTAGGGCTCTGTGGAATCCTTGCTGATGGAAGAAATGATTTGTCAGCGGGCTCTCGGGGTAACCCACTTGGGGCTGAGCCTTTTCACGAGATCGTTTGCACACGCTTGTTAAGGATTTAGCTTTCAAGGTGCAGGGCACCCTTGAGCACCTTCAGATGGACTCCAGTAAGACCTGGACCGCAGCTGCATTTTGCATGCAGGCTCAGAAGACGAAGACCACACTGAGCGCCAACAAGGCTGCCGCCAGCAGGGTCGCAAGGTTTACCAGTTCGAAAAGCTTAGGCTTCAGCCAGGGTTTCGGGATGCTCTTGTTGGCTTGTGGGTGTTCTCACACTGATTGTCCATGTTCTTTCTGTGTGTGTGTGGGGGGGGGGAGTGACAGCTTGATGTTTGCCTTTCGTAAGGCTCATGGGGCTTAGTAAGTATGACTGGGTTATAATTAGGATAACCACACTAAAAAGACTTACAACCCCAATTTTAAGCTACTTACTAAGTCCCATGACCCTCTAAGTTGAGGATCAAACAGGCTTCATTTGACTGCGGGGGCTTTCTATTTGTCGAACCTTTGACCTGCTGTATTGGTCTCTCCTGGGTTGTCTTCCATTTGGTAGCCTTCAACTTTTTGGGGTTTATATAACCCTACCATATTGAAAAGGTTGGCCTTTTTGGTTTCGGGTTCTCAGCCCCTGAGTCTGGGACCATTCAGCCTGAGTGCCAAACCCCAAAGCCCTAAACCCCTTGCCCCTAAACCCCTACACCCTAAACCCCAAAGCCGTAGCCCCTAACCCCCTAAACTAACCCCTAAGCCTTAAATTGGAAGCTCGAAGGTTGGAGGGGGGGGGGGGTGCCTTAAAGGCACTGCCCAGAGAGCCAGCCCAATACCCCCAAGTTAGCGAGCCTACCTTAAATTATAGTTAAGGGGCTTCGTACTACGGTTCAAGCCATATTCTTTACTTAAGGGATATTGGGTTCGCTGGGTGCCAAAATCCTGTAAACCCTAGGCCCTAAGCTTGGGGGCGCTTATGACACCCTTATAGGATCACTTAAAGGAACTGTCTAAACCTCATATATCCTAAGCCTTACTTAAACGATCATGGGACTTAGTACGTAGGTTATAACTGGGATTATAAGCCCCCTTATCCTAATTGGAACCTGCTGATAACCTTACTCACCAAGTCCCATGAGCCTCTAAGCAGAGCCCTAAACCCTAAAACCTTAAAGGGAGCCCTTTTGTCGAACCCTATAGTACCATTAAAAGGAACCCTAAACCTTACTTACTTACTAAGTCCCATGAGCCTTTAAGTGGCTTTAAGGTGTACCACAGCGGGCCGTGGACTCACCTGAATTAGGTCCCTTTCATACGGTTGACGATATAAATCCCGCATTACCCTAATTACCCTAAACTATGGAAATTATGGTATATTCTTTCTTATGGGTCCTGCAGGATTTCGATCCTAGACCCTAAACCCCCTGTAGATCCCTTGAGGCAGCCCTTTAAAGGTACCCATGTAGATCCCTTTAAAGGAACCCCAGGCTTTGTCTCATTATGGTATATTTTTATTAAACCCTAAACCCCTAAACCCTAAACCCCTAAACCCCTAAACCCTAAACCCTAGACCCGAAGATCCTTGGGAGGCGGCTCCCTTCACCGTGGAGTCGCTCTTTGAGGATACTGACTTCCAGGCGCGTTGCTCTGGGGCTGAGGGGGCTTTACATAGGGCTTTAGGGTTCTAGTTTTAAGGTTTAGGGGTTAAGGGGTTTAGTTTTAGGGTTTAGGGGATTAGGGTTTTAGTTTTAGGGTTTAGGGGTTTAGGGTTTTAGTTTTAGGGTTTAGGGGTTTAGGGTTATAGTTTTAGGCCCTCCAACCTTGCTGATAATCATGACGGCAAGATAGAGCGTTCTGCCGAAAGGGCTCATGCCCTAAACCACTAAACCCCTAGACCCTTAAACCCTGAAGCCAACCACCCGGGGAGGGTGCATCATGAGGACGTCGAGAGATGCAAGGGTTGAATTTAATGCGACAGCTTAGTACTAGAGTAGGTAACCTTCAACCTTTTTTGGGTACTATAACCCCAATATACTTCCAAAGGTACACCACATTTAGTTCTCCAGGATACCCGACAGGCCTAAACCCTAAACCCTAAAACTAAAACCCCAAGCCCCTAAACCCTAAACCCCTCAACTCTAAACCCCTAAATCCTAAACCCTGAAGCTCGATGGTGGAACTTTTTCCCGAGTTGCCTGCATTTGCAAGGACTTTTGGCCTTCACTCGAATCTAAGGGTAAAAGGAGGGACCCTTAGTAAGGACCCCTAGGTATATACCCTTAATATAGCCTATTATAGGTTAGGGGTCCCCATTAAGGGTCCCTCCTTGTCCCCTAAACCCCCCAAAACCCCCAAAAACCCCTAAACCCTAAACCCTATACCCTTATAGAATCCCTATAGATCCCTTTAAAGGGACCCAACTGAGGGCCCGAAGGAGTTGGTGTCAAGGGTGCGTTAGGGTTTAGGGTTTAGGGTTTAGGGTTTAGGGTTTTAGGGTTTAGGGTTTAGGGTTTAGGGTTTTAGGGTTTAGGGTTTAGGGTTTAGGGGTTAGGGGTTAGGGGTTTAGGGTTTAGGGCTTAGGGTTTAGGGTTTTAGGGTTTAGGGTTTTAGGGTTTAGGGTTGAGGGTTTAGGGTTTAGGGTTTAGGGTTTGGGGTTTAGGGTTTGGGGTTTAGGGGTTCAGGGCTTGGGCTTTCGGGTTCAGAGTTCTGGGGTGTAGGTTTGAGGGTGCAGGGTTGAGGGGTTTGTGCAAGCGCGCTGGGTTTGAGGCCTTGGGGTATAGATAGAGTTTAGGGTTCAGGGTCTAGGGCTTTCAATTTTGGATTTTTAGGGTGAAGGGTTTAGCAGTGGTATACAGCTTCTAATACAGGGGTTCTGTAGAATTTCTGGGTTCTCTTAGCTACATTTCATCTTTGCGATACTGTAAATCGATTGTTATGGTTCTGGGTCCAAGCACCTTATGTGAGACATGAATCCAAATCCCCGAATCCCTCAGTTCTGGAAGACAGATCGCTGGGGAGTTTGTTTTCAATATGGGGCTTCAGGGTTAATAAGGACGCCAGAGGGATTGTGGTTCTAGATGAGTTGGGAGTCGTTCCGTTACGGCCCTGTTACAGTTTCATGCTTAGGGTTTAGGGTTCAGGGCTTGTGGGTTTCTTCACGTTTAGGGGGTTGGAGTTCATGGCTTCCGGCCTTAGGCGTTTAGGGCTCTTTGGGGTGCAGGCGGTCTTTGTGCTCGTGGGCACTCGGAGTTTGCAGTTCAGGCTTTTCATCTGTCCTTGCTTGGCCATTTGACAAGTTGATCGTCGTTGTTCCCTGCTTCAGTGTTTCGGATATGCGAAGTAGGATCTCCGCTGCATGGAACGAGGCTCCTGTAGAAAAGCTTCCGTAACTCTGTACTTAAAGCCCTTATGCTAAGAGACCCTTCTGTATATTAACCCCCCCGATAATTACTCCTTTCAATCGAACCCTTTAAACGAGACTACGGCTCCTTACTAGCCATAACTTGTATGTCTTTGCTCTGTTTTGCACCCTTATCCCGAAACCCTACCAATCACCTGAGACTCTGAGAGTCTTCGAGTCCCGAAGGCAATGTTGAAGCGCGAAGACTTCGAAGCTATGTGCAAGGACGCGGTTTAGGGTTGAGGGGGTCTTGGGTTCATAGGTCCTGCGGGGATCCCCATGACGGTGCGATGAGGGTTCCACTAAACTGGGTGCAGGATTTAGGGTTTGATACGGGGGTCGGCATATTTAGGTTTTGGTGGTCGTGGTTTTAGGGTTCATTGGGGTTGAGGATTGCGGGGCTTCCCAGCTTTGGGTTTGGGGCTTAGGGACGGGATAGGGCTTTAGAGTTTTAGGCTTTGGCGTTGAGGGTTGCGGGATTTGACCGGGCCCCAAGCACTGAACTGAACTTCAGACCCCCTTTCCCTAAACCCTAAACGCCCTAAACCCTAAACGCCCTAAACCCTAAACCCCTAAACCCTAAACCCTAAAGGTGCACTATAGGGGTCGGAAGAAACACCAAAGCTATCCCTTGGGGTCCTTGAGAAGTTTAAACCCTAAACTCTAAACCGTCAATAGCTGTGAGTGATATACCCCCCAAAACCTCCTCTAGTTATCCAAGCCCATATATTACAAGCACAGCAAAACAACCTTCCTACAGAACCCTTACATATACCCCTTCAAGAATGCTTTACAGGAAGCCTCTTCCAAACTATAAAGGCCCCTCTATAGAATAGTAGTGCCTCAGCTCGAAAGTTAGCTTTTTTGTATCATCAGGAGACTGACAGGATGATGTCAGTTTCAACCATCAAAGCCATGAAGACGTTGCGGTGAGTTTAGGGTTTGAGGGGGTTTAGGGCGGTTTTGGAGTTTGGGGTTTAGGGTTTCGGGTTTGAGGCGTAGCCTTTTTCCGTCTAGGGTTTAGGGCTTAGGCTTAAGGGTCCAGGGCCTAGGGTGAAGGGTTTGGGGGTTCAGGGTTTCAGGGTCCAGGGTTCTGAGCCCTAAAGAGAGGCGAAGGCGTTGTCGTTCGCACGCTTTGGCAACGGACTGGGCCCCCTCCCCTTTGGGCCAGGACCGGAGCCCCAGGACGACAGTTCATTCCGTCGGCCTCCTGCGAAGTGCCAAGTTGCACCAGGTTTCACATGGTGATAAGCACTTGATGCAAAAAGCATTGCGCACCCACGTTTTTGACCCCTTAATGCTGACGAGCGGCGACGACATGGCATGAACACCGTGGGCACTGCAGGCGTCCTAGTCGGAAGACTTATGCACCCCCTGCAGGCCGTGCCGGCCGCATCGAACTGTTTACCAGGCGCCTTAATCCGGTGTCTCGTCTTGGTCACTTGCTTTTTGGAGCACATTGCGGTCGAAGCAGTCGAAGGACATCAGAGTGTTGACACATACACACTTTCGGCCGCGCCGCTGCAAGGTTAACCATGAAGAGGGTTTTTGCATTTGTGGGGCTAAGAGGTTCGGGCTCCCACGTCCCAACGCCCTTGAAGTTCCCCCGGACGTCTGAAACTCCTTGCGAGGACATGTTTGAGAGGTTGACACAACCCATCGAGAAGGCTCGCTGCAGGGCATGGCATGCTGGCCTTCACAGGGCATTCAGGACAGTTCTGCGTTTCGTGTAGAAGGTGCTCTCGAGGTTCTTCTGTAGCACCATTATGCCCCTTTCAGTTTGGGCTAGCCCTATCAGACCCGACTAATAGCAGGTATTGGTAAGAGGAGGAATACAAAGGCGTGCTTGCTCTGTGGAAGATGCCGAGGAACCTAGCACGAATACGATCGAATGGGGTCGTGCCGGCCGTGTGCCAAACGTAGGGTCGTTCCTGGCCTGTTTAGGAACTTCGCTTGATTGGGGATGCGGACTGTAGACCCAAAACCAGGAAGATTCGCTTCCAAGAAGAAAGACTATGACTTCGCATTCTACTAAGGGCATTCTGTTGCCACCAGTTACGAGACCATCGTTTCCTGCGTGAGCACCGAGACGACCCCGAAACTTCGACCAGTTCTTCGTGGGGGCGGTGTTGGCAAGAGCATGGCAAAGACACGGTGCACCTTCAAGACTACGACCGCCCACAAGGGAGTCTTTGAGAGGCGGCTCCCATGGGCTCCCGAGAAGGAGGTCCCGACGAAGGCCACAGCCAAAAAGCCCGAGGCGGCTCCCTTGTTTGTAGCTTGTACCGACGTGCCCCCGACATCGGGCCTGACAGGAGGTGTTTTCTAGACTTATAAGTATCATAACCCCAGTTAGGATCCCTTTTTAAGGTACTTACAAGTCTACTTACTACCTACTTACTAGCTCCAAATAGACGCACTGAAGCCAGCTCAACATCGTAAACCCTTATAGAACTCCTGATGGAAGAACTGGACTGGCCCTTAAACCCTACATGGACCTAAACCCTGAACCCCAAACCCTACAGTACCATTAAAGGGCCCTTAAACCCCAAATAGACCCTATAAACCGTACCCTTAAAGGGCCCTTCAACCCAAAAACACCCTAAACCTTAACCCCCACCTCTAGGACCCGCAAAAGCCTCACCACATCCAGGCGTTGGCTGAGGCGAACCTTACGGTGGCCGACATCAACTTCGTGGAGGCCACTGAAAGGCTTAACTTACCTTTGGTTAGTAGAAACCCTAAACCCTAAACCATACACCCTAAACCCCTATAGATCCCTTTAAGGACCCCTTTAAGGAACCCTAGGAATGGTAGTAATAGTAGTTCTACTTGCACGCCATTCCTCCATTCCCTACTAACCAAAGGTAAGTTAAGGGCTCTTTCAAGGCTTTGAGGGTTCCTTTAAAGGACCCACCGTAAAGGATACTACCCTAAACCCTGAACCCTTAAAGGTTTAGGGGTTTAGGGGACCTGTAAAGGGACCCTTCAAGGATGCCTTGAAAGAGCCCTTAAAGGGAAGCCTGAAAGGTTTAGGGGTTCAGGGGGCGCGTAAAGGACCCAGAACGGCAACTTAGGGATTATTACTACAGGAGTTTAGGGTTTGGGGTTTGGGGTTTAGGGTTTAGGGGTTTGGGGTTTAGGGCGACCCGTAAGGCTAACTTGAGGGTTACTACAGGGGTTTGGGGTATCGGAGCTCTTTGAAAGGGCCTACAAAGGAACCCATGAAGGAGACTTTGGAGGAATCCTGAAAGGAAGGAGTTTTTAAACGTGCCGCTAAAGGATCCTTCAAGGAGCCCTTAAAGGATCCCTTCCAGGAGCCTTTGCAGAAGGCAGGGTCTCATTGAGGGCGTAGGGGTTCGGGTTTAGGGTTTTAGTTTTACGGGTTTATGGGTTCAGGGTTTTGGAGTTTAGGTTTCAGCCAAGGTAGGTGCTTAAAGGCTCAGAACTGCTGGCCCTTTGGGGTTTACCTCAGAATATAGCAAACCGTATCAATGCCTTCCGAAGCCTTTAGCTTCGAACCCCAAGCCCCTACTTGGAGGATCGGGGGACTCAGGAAGCAGTTATTGTATAGGCTTATAAGTATCATAACCCCAATCAGGATCCCTTTTAGGGTACTCCTAAGTCTACTTATTACGTACTAAGTCCCCCGACCCTCCAAGCAGACCCCAATCCCCTCAACCCGACAGGCCTTCCTTAAGGACGAAAAGAACCCTAAAACTAGGACCTGGAGTAAGCCCTTATTCCCTTTTTGTAGGGCTTAGGTTCTCTTATAACCCCCTTGAACAAAAAAGGGCACCCTTTTTGTTCCAAGGTTACTCTTGGGTCTAGAAAAGGGTTTAGGGTTCATATACCTTGTAGGGATTCATCATATAATTGTGTGGGGCCCCTTCTTTTAAGGGTCATTCGGTCCTTCAGGAGACACCCTCTACCATGAACGCCGCATTGACAAAATGTGCAAACAGTAAACCTGCAGCCTAAAAACCCTATATGATGCTTATAACACAATTTATAAAGCGCCATTCCCGTATAAAGCCTCTTGAGCCGCATAACACCAGTGTAAAAAACCACGTTAAACCTTATCGAGACCTTAAAAAAACATCAAACGTCTAAAGTTAAAGACCTTATAGAACGGCTGTAGAGCCCTATATAAAGCCGGCAAAACTCTACAATCCTTAAGGGGCCTCCTGAACAACCGGTCTGTTCCTCTCAGGTTGTCGGCGGTGCCTGGCGAATTCCGATGATTCAGCCGCGACCCAAGTAAGCGTGTTGTTTTTTTACCTGTAGCAACAGCTCTGCTGACAATTCCTTATAGTGTTCTGTGATGCAGGCTTGGGAGGGTTTTGTTGGTCTTTGTAGCTGATCGGCTTCCTGTAGAGAGTGTTCAGGGTTCTATCAATCGGGTTTTCCAAAAGGTTGCATTAAGCGCAGGGCTCAAGGGGATCAAGCGGTCTGGTGTTTTGGAGTTGTTTTGGGTTTCGATTTTAGGTTTGACGGGATTCAGGCCTAGGGTTCAGAGTTACTTGAGTATCGTCGATTTCATGTAATTAGCGTTCCGTGTGCCCGGCTTCAGGAACAGTGGGAGTGTCCGTGCGAGCGTACAGGTTGTCCTCATCAAGGGTGTTTTGAGGTTTTGGCTAGGGTCTCCTTTTCAGACACTGTAATTCCCGAATTATTCAACATGTACCATCCTCCCACCTTGGAAGAGAATTGATGTTTCAATGTGGTTCCAGTGGTACGATGGTTGGCTTGGGAAAAGCATGGGCGATCCTGAAAACTGCCAGTGCCTTGTCAGAATCTTCTTAGAAATGGTTCTGCTCCTTATGCAAAGCCTGTTTAGCACGAATAAATCCCAGCAGTACCAGAAGCATTTTGAGGTTTGGGTGACGGGTTTTGAGGTTGAAGAATATTGGCGCTTCGGGTGAAAGTTTGAGCCAGATGTGACCAAACCCTCAAAGCCCTCGCCTCATGCCTAGTTACACGCGTCCTCTGTGTCGGTTCAAGCAATAAGGCGTAAGTTCCCTACCTATCCGCTGATTATCTTCTTTCGTAACGGAGCTCCCCTTTCGACTGAACAACAATACCTTGCGCCCAAGGTGCCAATGGGATACTAGGGTTAGGATCTTTTCATTAGACAGAGTGGCTGTCCTGAGTCGATTTCCGAGAGCATCGGCAGGGGCTGGGATGGGAGCTCATCCCTGAGCCGGCCGCCATGTTTGGCTCAGATCAAGCCCCCAGAGACTCCTATATCCCTTAATTCAGCATTATACCTTAAATGATAGTAGGATCCTCAATCTGATTAAGGAAATTCCTGAATTAAGGGATGTTGGAGTCTCTGGGCCGTGCGTGCTCACGATCTCGAACATGTTCGCGGCCCTTTCCATGCCCGAAACACGGTCTTGTCCTGGCACTTGGTCCAGGTGCTACGGGCAAGATCGTGGTCACGCCAGAGGCCCTTGCACGGGCTCCTGGCCCCGATCATGACCACGACCCTGGCATCACCTTCGTCAGTTCCTTGAGGTCGAGGCCCCAACCCTAACAGGCTAAAGCCGACATGGACTCTATCCCTACAACAAAGCGAAAATATGAACTGACCCAACAAAATCACACAGACAGGAAGGAAAATGTCCTAATCCTCCCCGCCGGAGTACATGCGAAGACTACCGGAGACCCTCCAGACCTCAGAAAGAGAGACCATCCGAAAGCCTTCTTGACCCCAATCCCTGACCCTATAGAAACCTTATAAACCCTTCAACCTCTGCGAAAGCTATAAACTCTACAGACAGACCCCATCTGTGAGCTCTAAACCCTATAAAGACCGCACACGCTAACACACAATCGCCCTAACCCCTGAACTCAACCAAAACCCATGAATCCAATGAAGGCCCTAACCCTATTCCTTAAAACACCCCAAATCCTATAGTCGGGTGACTTAAACCCGCCAGAGGCCTAAAACTTTCAAACCCTTCAAGCGCTAAACACCGCCAAGCCCTAAACCCGAAGCCCCATAACTCGTACAAGCCCTAAACACCCAAAACCCTAACGACCCTGTTTGCTCTAGACACCCTGAACCCCACACGATAAACCCGAAACCCGATAATTAGGGCCTTAAACTCAAAAGCGCAAAAGACCCAACCCCTACTTAAAGGATCATGGGACTTAGTAAGTAGGTTATAGATAGGGTTAAAAGCCCCGTAAGTGGGACCATCCTAAATATAACCTACTTATAACCATACTTACGAAGTCCCATGAACCTCTAAGTATCATCCCTAAACCCTGTAAAAAGCCTACTCCGTATCCCGAGGGATATCCTCAAGAAGTACTTTTCCGATGCTGGAAATGCTATGCCCCTGGGGTCGGGCTCTCGGCGCCGTTAGAGCTCAGTCCCAGAGCTGCTGAGACTCGAGCGCCCGCCTTTAGGGTTTAGGGTTTAGGATTTAGGATTTAGGGTTTAGGATTTAGGATTTAGGGTTTAGGATTTAGGGTTTAGGGTTTAGGGTTTAGGATTTAGGATTTAGGGTTTAGGATTTAGGATTTAGGATTTAGGGTTTAGGATTTAGGGTTTAGGGTTTAGGGTACCCTAAAGCCTACCTGTACCCCAAACCCTACAAAATAGTAGGCTATGACCCCTTAATTAGAGGGTCTGAGCCTGAAAACGGTAGGTTTTAATATAAGATCCCTGTTGCGAGTACTTACAAATCTACTTATCCTATTTCCTACTTACGTAGTCCCCCGACCATCCAAGTAGACGCACTCAAGCCAGCCCAACATCGTAAACCCATACAGGACTCCCGATGGAATTTACTGGAGGGGCCCCTAAACCCGACTTATTAACCTACTTAACAAGTCCCCTGCCCCTCCAAGTAGGGTTTAGGGAGCCTACTTAAAGGCTCATGGGACTTAGTAAGTCAGGTTATACGTAGGTTATAATTAGGATAACCCACGCCAGTTATAACCTACTTGCTCAGTCCCATGGTCCTCTAAGCATGGGGGGGCAGTCAGGAGCTGAAGTTAGTGCTCGAAAGCCCTCAACCCTACTCAGATCTATCTTAGGTTTATAATAAGAACCTACGAAAAAGTAGGTTTGGGTAGTTTGAGGTAACCCCTAGTTGTCCAGTTGATCTGGAAAGGTAGCCTACCGTATCTGGGCCGGGGACGGGCTGTAGAAGGGTTGCCTTAGCCCAAAACCTAGTTTTTTGTAGGTTCTTATTATGAACCCTAATATGGATCATATAGGGACCCTACAAAAAAGGTAGGTTTTGGTGGGTTAAGGTGGGGTTTAGGGTTTAGGGCTCCGTAGGAGGTTTCCTGCTTAGGCTTCTTGCAAGGCACTTTACATGAAGGCTTAAAGGGAACTCCAGAAAGTTGGAATATGGATTAATGGTAGGATCCCCTATAATTTACCTTAAAGGGGTTGCGATAATGATATTCCAACTTTCTGGCTTCTACTGTAAGGGAACAAGGAGATTGTAGTTGTGAGTTTTCAGTCCAGTGCGCGGGGTGTCCTCAGTCAGTAAAGCCCAAGCCCAAAAACCTATATATCCACTATTAAATCCTCACGTATAGCCTAAAATTGCAAAGTGCTTATGCCCTTGTACTCATGCTGCAACTTATGCTCCTTTTGCTCACACTGAGGTGTGATAGATTGGCGCAAGTCTTGTCCACCTGGAGGTCGCCACTTCTGCCTGGGACAGACCTGCATAACGAACTGCTTTCGTTGAATGACTTCTCCCGGGTGACGAGTCCGATCGCTCCTTCGTTGTGCGATCCGTGGCGCAGATGAGGGTCATGGCACCACCCGGACGAAAAATCAATTACCAAGAAACATCTTTGTGCCATTTGGTCATGACACCGAGGTCGAACCTGTCTACAATTGGGCGGATGGATGCGGGGCAAGCGGTATGAGGAGCTTTACAGGTCTGGTGGCATACGATGCCTGAGCCCCACAGTCCCGTTGCTGCTGAGATATGTGCGGAAGGTGAACTCTCCTTTCTTCTATGAGGAGCAGCGAGATGGTTGGACTCCAGCACCTATGCCATAACTTGTGCCGTAATTAGGGATTGGCCTTTCGGCTGTTTCCAAAACCAGGGAAGAGTGAACAACTGCCAGATCCTCGATTGCAGAACCGCAGAATCGCACAGAGATTATAAGGACACCCAGAAAGTTGGAACAAGGGTTTAGGATCTTTTAGGATGATCCGTGCTCGGAATCCCCAGCATTTACCTGAAGCGCATTAGGATAATGATGGTCCAGTTTTCCGGGCTTTACTGTATCGGGTTCAGAGTTCAGACCCCTGGACCTTTAAGACACCCCAAAGGCCCAGGTTAAGCACTTCGGCTTTCGGTACGCAGACCCCTTAAGGATGTGAAAACAAGAGCCCATGAAAAGGTATACTAGCACCCGCAAGTTCTGTTTGAGATCCTCCGGCAATGAACCCGCTCGATTCCGAGGCAGCACCTCAACGGAGAGGAGGCTGCAGCAATGGGTCGCTCCCTCAGAAATCAAATATCACACGGTTGAATAGTTTAGGGTCTCGGTTTCGGAGTATCCGTTATATGGGGTTCTTCATGTTCCATTTAAATGAACGTCCATAAGTATGTTCAACGAATCTTGTTTGCTTTAGGAATGCCCTGCATAGATGGCCCGAAGCAACCGCACAAAGGTTTTGGGGGATATTTCATCCAATCGTGATGCAGGAGGAGAATTATTGTAATGTAAGAAATAAGATTAGAAGAGAGGTACAAAAGAAGAACAGAAAAGGATAAAGGATTAGCAACACGATTCGCTAGGGTTCCTTGCTATGTGTCTGTCCACCTCGAGTCTTGTTCTAGTGCAGAGGCCCCTACATATTCAGTATGAAACCGTGTTTAAATCCATCAGCTTCTTATGAGACCCCGTCAAATCCGTAGTGTACGCTATGTACGTTGCCAATCGCCGGGGATGGTGTTATGATGTTACCCTAAACCCTAAACCCTAAACCGTGGCTCTGATATCTCATAACTTCAAGCCAGCGACCGCAGCTCGCAATCCCAAGCCCGACGCATTTCGGTGGCCGCGCAAGTCCTTTCCCCAGAGCCACGCGTACTGTCCCATCCCCAGCTACTACACGGAAATCGAGGGCAGGTCGCGTCATGCGCATACTGCTGCTAGCTGGGGTCGATCGGCGGGTTCAGTACAGGAAAAAAAGCCGGCGTGCAAGGACTTTAGCAATACGAACCCATGGCGAGCACGAGTATCATCTCGAGCGCTTGGACGTCGGCCGAA